AAAATGAGATCCCTATCTTTCCAATATATAGCAGAAATGAGATCGTTAACAGCAGCAAAACTAAAGTACTAAACAAGAGATCAGAAATCAGAAACTTTTCTTACAAAAATTTGAAGGTCCTATCTAGAGTAAAATTGGGAAAAAGACTGAAAAATAAATTAAAGAAAATAGCACAACTTGGAAAATTGATTCTTTTTCTCCTTCTCGTGGACTTTCAATCCATTGTCCTCAATCTATGAGAAGCAAAATGTGATTGGAAGTAACTGCAAATTCAAGAAAACAAAGAAAGAAACAAAAATTAACCAAAAAAACATCAAAATGGCTTCTTTGTTTTCTTCTTTTTGTTGATTAACAAAGAAAAGAAAAGAAGAAAGAAAAACATGTAGGTGAAATGATGGATCTGGTCATCGTTTGAGAGAGGGAGAGCGAGAGAGAAAGAGTGTCGTTTGAAGTTCGAGGGAGACCGAGATAGAGAGAGTAGATGGGAATACAAAAGGGTACGACAATCGGGCAACCACATGAAAGGCAAATGGCAAGAAAGGAGGAGAAAAAGGCACCGAAAAAAAGTAACCACTGACACATGAATTAGGAAGAAATGAAGTTGGAGAAGCAACCGCTTTGATGAGTACAATCAGGCTGACCCCGGGAAACAGAAGGACGTCCGGAGTGGGTGGATTTAGTGGAGCAGTTTGCTGACCTCCAGTGAAAAGCTCGCCAGCAAAACAGCACCAAACAAACGGAATGAAAGACGAGGGAAAAAAATTACTTGCAACGAAGCCAAACTCGCCACCAATCACCTCGCACCACGTCACCATCAAGCCAATCCCATGTCACCACGCGGAGGACAACCACGTCCGACGTGGATCCCGGGCATTTACCCTTAGTCTTGTTCCATTACATTGTCTTACAGAAAGTAAGCATGTTTTTGCAAATAAACCTAATCCCCACAGTAACTTCAAAAGCCGACAACTTTTGAAGTCCTGCGAGGGACTTATCTATCCAAACACCCCAACCCCCCCAACCGATGTGGGATAGAAAACCCCACAGGGTGCCCTGCTACTAAGAGATAACTACCCCCCAAGCCCCTGGGAATGAGTTTTCTTGTTCCATTACATTGTCTTACAGAAAGTAAGCATGTTTTTGCAAATAAACCTAATCCCCACAGTAACTTCAAAAGCCGGCAACTTTTGAAGTCCTGCGAGGGACTTATCTACCCAAACACCCCAACCCCCCCAACCGATGTGGGATAGAAAACCCCACAGGGTGATTTACCCTTAGTCTATATGGTTAATAATTGGATGATTACGTGGTTTGTAAGTAGGGAAAGGAAAAAGGGGAATATCTTTCCTAAGATATTTTCTTTGAAGTTTTGTCTGGATAAAGCCATGAAGATGAAGGGATCATAAAAGATTTTTTTTTTTTTTTGACGTTGATACGCACCCTTGCGATAAAAAAAGAAAAGAACGGCCAAACTTGACGTTTCTCTAGCTAGAGCTAGCTATCACTGTCTGTCCTTCCTCCATTGTCCCGGTCGAGTTGAGTGAGGACTTTACAAAATGAATAGTCTTGCTCAGCAGCTGCAAGTAACCCACAACGCCCGCCTTAAAAGCGACTCTACGACACAAACAAATCGACAATTATGCATCTTTTCTGTTCTGCTCTTAAGCTTAGTGACAAATTCACCACCTAAATAAAATGTCTTCGTTCGTGTTGATGGTTTCATTAGGAAAAGAACATTCAGCAATTCATGTCATTACGATTTCAAATCAACAATTCATTCAAAACAAATTCAACTCCTACAAATAGGAATTACTTAATAAGAATTTGGAGCATATTAAGCAATGGCAATAATCAACTTTAGAGCAGAGGTATCACTTTCACGAGGAAAGTTTGTTAGCTGCAGCATACTTATAACTTATAAGACGTGATTCTCTAAAATTGTAGAGTACGTAACTTATGGTCTGAATTGAGTACCACTTATCGAATCATTTCCAAGGCTCTCATTTCTTACTCATCCCTCTTTGCTGCGTAATTGAGTGTATCATCATCGCATTAACTAACTCATGGATGAAGAAGAGAATGGAAAAGTCGCAGCAGCAGCATCAGCGACGACAGTCGGAGGAGCACCAGAAATCCCCAAAAAGTCCTTGTTCAGGTACAATTCCCCCTTGGTTCAGGTGGGATTGATCGGAGTGGTGTGTTTTTGCTGTCCTGGCATGTTTAATGCCCTCTCCGGCATGGGCGGGGGAGGTCAGGTGGATCCCACCGCTGCCAACAACGCTCTCACCGCCCTCTACACCACCTTCGCCGTCTTCGGCATCATGGGCGGCGGAATCTATAACATCTTGGGACCCCACATGACCCTCTTCGCCAGCTGTTCCACTTACGGCTTGTACGCCGGCTCCTTCCTCTACTACAATCACTACCAGCATCAGGCCTTTGCCGTCGTCGCCGGCGGCCTCCTCGGTATAGGAGCCGGCCTCCTCTGGGCTGCCCAGGGTGCCATCATGACCTCCTATCCCCCCCACGATCGCAGGGGCACCTATATCTCCATGTTCTGGTGCATCTTCAACATGGGCGGGGTGATCGGTGGCCTCCTTCCCTTCGTCCTCAACTTTCACCGGACCAAGGCCGCTTCCGTCAACGACGCCACCTACATTGGGTTCATGGTTTTCATGGCTGTCGGGATGATTATTTCTCTGGGGATCTTGCATCCCAGTCGCGTTATACGCGACGACGGTTCCTCCTGCACCAGCATCAAGTACTCCAGCGTCTCCACTGAGGTTGTTGAGATTCTGAAATTGTTCCTCAACTGGAAAATGCTGCTCATGGTGCCAGCCTCCTGGGCCAGTAACTTCTTCTACAGTTACCAGTTTAATAACGTGAACGGGGTTCTGTTTAATTTGAGGACTAGAGGGCTGAACAATGTTTTATATTGGGGGGCCGAGATGATCGGATCGGTGTTCGTGGGGTACCTGATGGATTTCAGTTTCAAAAGCAGGAGAGCGAGGGGGCTGCTGGGTATTAGCGTGGTCGCTTTGCTTGGGACGGCTATTTGGGGAGGCGGACTTGCGAAGCAGCTGGGTTACTCCCGGCATCACGAACCCGAGGTCAAGCTGGATTTTAAGGATTCAGAGTTTGCAGGGCCCTTTGTGTTGTATTTTAGCTATGGTTTGCTTGATGCCATGTTCCAGAGCATGGTGTATTGGGTCATTGGAGCCCTGGCCGATAATTCTGAGGTCCTCAGCAGGTAAACATTAGTACGAGTGTTATTACTACCTTTCATTTTACCTATCCTGTTAGTATTAAAATACTCTTTAAGAGTCTCGCGTGTACTACTGTACAGGATATGGATAAGTAGTAATACTGTAATACTACTACTGTAACATAGCAGTAGTCTAGATGCCAAAAAAGAGGAGGGTGGTGGATGAATTGGTGGGAATATTGGTTTCAGGTATGCTGGTTTCTACAGGGGAGTGCAGAGTGCGGGTGCAGCAGTTTCTTGGCAAGTGGATGCACACAATGCTCCATTCTTGAGCCAACTAATCGTCAGTTGGACACTCTGCACCATCAGCTACCCACTTTTAGCTGTTCTGGTCATAATGGCGGTCAAGGATGACGACGGTGAAGATGGAGGGGGAGAGGGCAAGGGTAAATCGGTCATGCCCGATCTTCATTGATTAAGAGACAGCTACTGGTATACTTGAGCAGCATAAAGACTCAGACTCTCTTCTTCTTTCTTCTTCTTCTTCAATACTTGATTTCGTTTATTGCAGACGCTACCATGTGGTCTGAGATTTTAAGTTATAGTGTGTAAATTTTATTTTTTTTTGCTGCGATCAAAATTGTAGTAATTGTGTATGAAGAATCCATCTTTTTTCCATACGAGTTCTTCAGTTGGCAAATTTTGATTCCTACACTTTTGGCATGATGAATTTTGATTCCTATATGTACGCGCGTGTGTGTGTGTGTGTGTTTTGTTTGGAGCACTAGAACTAGACTAGACTGGATCACCGTGCCGGGAGCCGATCTGCATGTGCAAGAGACTGTATAATTTCCCCCCTGGAATGGATTCCACTCCGGCAGATCAATAATTTTATACTCTAATCAATGTATAATTGCGTGAGGAAGTAAATATGGAGATTCTCTGAGTCGCCAACAAAGCTTTAGCGACAAAGATGGCAAAGTTCCATCATCGTTTGTTTATTGACAACGTAAGAATGATGTGCCAATTATTCTAATGATTTGTTTATAATAATATAAAATTATTAGCTAAGCATATAAATCAAATCAAATAGTACTAATTTATTATCACATCAACCAATCGTATGTCGTCATGGCTACCTACCATACAATCGTATGTATTGTCTGGTCGTCCTATTTTGCAACCTCCAAGAAAGTACGTCGCTATTACTTGTCCTTAATTTCCGTAACAAGCCATTAGTAATGAGGAGAAAGATTTCATCCCAGTCCAGATTATTATTATTATTAGTACAACAAAAAGAAAAGCCGTTCCGTTGTCACACTTTTTTGGCCTTCACAATCAGCACTACACTTTTATGTATTGTGTAAACTAAACTCAACAAAAAGCTGTTTTGTTCTCTCATTGGAAAGAACTGCAGTTGCCTGCTGCTTACAGACTCTTTGGTTGACCAAGCTGTTCTGTTCTGTTCTGTTCTTGCTTTATATATGTTTCCGGAAATTGTAACGCGGAATGTGATCACGGAAATTTTACAAAATATAAACCTTGTAGGTTAATAATGACGTTTCATTGCAAAGAAAATTTTTGAAACTAAATGTCAATGTTTAAACAGGCAGGCACCATGGTATAGTATAAATTGCCGCTAGTTGCAGGATATCTAATTACTTGTACTCCTCGTTTATCTACAGACAGATTTTGCGTGAATCATGAATGAGACGTATAAAAATAAGTGCTTAATGGGGTAAATAATTTTCTTTATTGATGATGCAGCAATTTTATTACATGAGCCCCAAGAAACTTGCAGCTAGATTTTTAACATTGCATTTCACGTCCACCCGATACAAACAAACCCTATCTGGTAATTCCTGGCACGCTAACTAGAAAGATGCGTGATCAGTTGTCCTGGGGTTTAGGGGCAGCCTCATCTTTCTTGTCTTCCTTTTCTTGTGGCTCCTCAGCCTTGTTGATCTCTTGAGCAGAAGAAGTGGCTTCTGATGATTCAGCGGCCTCGGCCTCCTTCTCCGTCTCCTTCTCCTTCTCCGTCTCCTTCTCCTCCTCCTCCTGAGAAGCAGCTTCTTCGGGCTTTGTTGATTCTGCAGCCGCTTCCTCAACTTTGGGGGCCTCAGAAAGATCTACCAGAGGCTCTTGGGTTTTTGTCTCGGTGGTCTTCTGGGGGAATGGGATCGGATGATCATACAAAAAGTAAATTTGCATGACGAATAGAAGTAGCGATCAATCAAGAAACTTTTTTTTTTTTGGGTCAAAGAATCAAGAAACTGCTGGATATATAAATGCAGACATTTTATGTATAATAACAATAATAATAAATAATGGTTTACAGGAGAAGTGGTGGTAATCAATGCAGACATATATATAACAAGCAAGTAGCAGGGACTAGGGAGGAGTAATATTTACCTCAGCCTTCTCGGTGGTGTCGATAGGTTTCTCGACCGGAGCAGGTGCCTCCTGGGTGTCCAAATCCTTGGGTTTGCTCGCACAGCCTCCCATGATTGATTTCTCGACGACGGGCAGCAAGAGGGGAAGCTAGGCGAGTTGGAGAGGGCTGAGAGAGAAATCCCAAATGCTTTTCTTCTTTATTTCTTTCTTTCTTTTTTTCCTGAAGTGAGGAGGATGCAAATGAGGAGCTTATATAGACATGGAAGGTCCTCAAAAGAAAAAAAGAAAAATTATGAATGCCCGTCAATCAAGAGCGGTGGCGCAAGAATCAGGAGGTAGAACTCAGAAAACGAGCGCTGAAACATGCAGAGCTGTAGCTTTTTTGTGGACAAAAATGTGGGCTCGATGTGTTGGTATAATTTTTTATGGTTTGAGCTCAATTTTCGGGGAAAGTGCGGAGGCTTTTTTTTTTTTTCTTACCTTCTTATTACTGATCTAGTATTTCGTTTTGATTTTATGGGACGCAGCAGAGGGTTTGTTATGTCCGTTGAAACTAAATACTGAAGAGGTCCATCGAATCGAATTTCTTATTTGTGACATTTTGCCGCAAATTTCATTTATTACCCCCCGTTGCGAAATTACAGAAAACCAACGTACAAAGAGTTTAGGATATACTAAAATATATATATATATATAAAAGGTCAAAAGGATGCTATTTTATTTTTTATTTTTTTTATTTGATATCTTTGGAGCAAGCCAAACAAAACAACACTCGAATGTCATGTTGGGTCAGTACAGGTCGAATAATTGCAAAAGCAATAATGGGGAAAGAGGAAATTAGTATCGTCTATCTGGTTTTTCTCCCATTAGAAACTGCAAAGCTATTGCAACAATTGCAGACTACAAAGCGAGAAAGATTAGAAATGAAGCAAAAACAACATTTGGCGGAATTGCAACAATTGCAAAATACCATATACGAAAAAGTTTCGAGTCATGTCAATACTCCAAGAAGTCACGTTAATAACTGCTTGTTCCTATTCTCAATTTTCATTTATCCCTAAGAAGAAAACACACCCCATAAAATATGAAACTCTGCACTTTTCTCTAATACCCTCTGTCGCCTTCACAGCTAACAAAAAGAATTTAACGGTTCGAAACCCACAACGCGTGGTAAATCCTCAAAGTGTTACCACCTAACTACGTTTCTTGGTGTTTTGCAGACTGAAAGCAGATTCACCAGAGTGGTTTTCAGCAGCCTGAGAGTTCTCATCCTTTTCCTTTCGAGGTGATTCAGGTAGAGAAGATTCCTTTGGAGATGATTCAGGTAGTGCTACAGATTCTGAAATCTCTGGAAGCTCATCAGTAGGACTCTTCTTAACAAGGTTCTTATATATGCTCATTACTTGAGCCATCATGTTGGCAGGATTAGAAGCACTTGCTGGAAGTAATAGTGTTGTCCCCTGGACAATTTTGGTAAAAAAAAAACCAAAAAAATTAGCAACTTATTTGAAGATTGCAACCTATGAATAAGGGCCAAGAATAGATATGCTATACCTCCTTTGCAATGTTACCAAACGCTTGGATATATTGCTCTGCGACTCTCAGACTTGCAGCCTGTAAATATTGGACACAGTGCAAATGTTCTAGTAAAAATTGCCAAACAGTATACCAGAAATCTTTTACATACATCACTTAATCCTATGTTTTACCAACCATATTACAAACCATCACTTATTCCTTTGAGGATTAGATGAAATCATAAGTTACGCGGCTTTCAATATCAAGGCCTCTGTCGTAAGATTCCAATGTCATCGGGAAGACAAAAAATTTGGCAAACATTTTCCCAAGTTCATATGCAATTTAAAGTTACTAGACCGGATATAAAAGCCTCCATTGCAATACCTCAACTCCTCCATGCTCCTTAAGAGATCGTGACACCATTGCAATTCCTTCTGCGGTTGCCTTTGCTTTAGCAAGAATGGCTTCAGCTTCACCTGTTTAATTAGGCCCCCCAAAATAAACATAAAAGATATCAATAAATCTTAACAAGCTTATCAAACAAAACATGCAACGACAGGTACAAATCAAGCACAGATTTTTAATTAACATCCCTCAGAATTAATTCTATAATTGATTCCACAACAACCAAGCATTCACAAGGTGAAACCTATGATTAAACCTCTGTACAGTTTTGCAAAAACTGACTATTCAACAACTGCTAGTTATGGAAGTTATGTGATTACAAGTCCATCATCAATATATATTAGAGGGGATAACTTGCCTTGAGCTCTATTAACCTGGTCCATCTTTGCCCCTTCCGAAGCAAGTATCACGGAAACCTTTGCCCCTTCTGAAGCAAGTATCACGGAACTCTTTCTCCCATCTGCAATATTTATGTTTGCCTGCCTTTCTCCTGCAACAATACTTTAATAAGTCAATATGCATTCAATATCAATTTTCTCAATGAAAATCACAATTGCGAGCACAATATTGTCCTTTCTGGCTCTCCTCTGATTCAATAATAAAAAATTTGTATAACCTGAACAGACCATTTCTAAAACCACAGTTAACAAAGTTACAGCTTAGATTGGATAATTATCGCAAGTCAATATCAATTCTAAATTGCAAAGTTATTGCAGAATCTCCAAATGAGGAAAAAGTCCATACTTCCTTAAACACAGCTAAACTAGAACGGTTAAGATTGAGAGGATAAAGGTGTCTACGGTCCAGTTCTGTTTGAGACGGTTAACTTTGTACTTAGAATTTCCCCAACTACCGATGAGTACAATCACCAAATGCGCATATGTGAAATGTAAAAGTGCACTCTTGCCAAAATTATCAACATTACACCTTACAAATCAAATTAAACACCTTGTAAAAGTAACTTGATCTCAACAGAAAGAGGGGCCAAGAACACAATTACCTTCCGACTCTAGGATTTGAGCCCTCTTCTTCCTTTCTGCCTCTGCTTGCATTTCCATAGCTGCCCTCACTCCACGAGGAGGAGATATGTCCCCTGATGAAACAAATTAAAATGCCTGGTTTAGAAGGGATTTACTGCAACCAGACTAATTTGTTTAATTATATTCAAGGAAATATTGCATACTTATTTCATAACGCAGACATTTCAAACCCCAATCCTTGGCAGCCTCATTTATGGCTATCTACAAGCGGAAACAACTGGTCAAATGAAAAGCTATAGTACTGGCAAAGGTGCAAAAGCATATACATCTCAATTTGCTACTTACATAACCTGTCTAAAATTTTAAAGCTCAAACATGGATCAATGCGAAAGCTGAAAATAACAAAAAGCACCCTAACACATGCCAACCCATGCTCTGGAGAAAAAGTAATTCATGCTTTAAGGTCTCTTTCTACTGCTTCATATAAGATCAACAATTGGACTAGAGGATCCCCCACCCATGGAATGATTTGGGAGATCAAATAGGAACCACAAAAATCAGCTTAAAGGTCTTGCACTTAGGTCAATTTTGTATGTGTTTGCGGGCTTGGCAAAATCAGCTAGCATTCAAATATCAATAATTGCATGGTTTATGCATTGACAAGACAACACAAAACATGCATGAGACTGGGAGGAGAAAGGAGGGGCTTTGTGAAAACCAAAAACAAACAATCAAACTTACCACAATCTTCTCGTTCAGAGCATCTCTCTCCTCGAAAGTCTTGTCCAGAGTGATCTTGCCAAGCTCGCTACGCATGGTTGTCTGGGCAAGTTGAAGGACAGAATATATAGGATTCTCAACTCCATAGGAGGCCAACTTAGGGTCAACAATCTGAAATTTAAACGAAAACCATAAACAACAAACCTTTAAACCAGAGGGAGGGGGAGAGTGCGTCACTCAAAATTTACAGAAAACCTTGACCAAAAATGAATCAGTAAATTAAACATGTAGTAGTTAAGAGAAGAAAAAAAGGAGGAAGAGACCTTGACGTAGAGAACACCATCAATGAGGATGCTGACATTGTCCTTGGTAATAGCAGACTGGTCGGGAACTGGAATGGCCTCTTCCTTGAGGGAATGAACGTAGGCAATTCGATCCACGAAGGGAATCAAGAAGTGGATTCCAGGAGTTAAGGTCTTGACATACTTTCCGAAACGCTCAACCACAAAGGCCTTCCTCTCAGGTACGATTCGAATTCCCCAATTGACGGGCGGCGAAATCTCAAACCTAGGTCCAGAAAACCACAGTTCCAAAGAGCAGACGAGTAAATATACTTCTTCATGAGGGGGAAATAAACCACAGTTCATAAGAGTAGAACGAGTAAATATACAACTTCATACGCAAAAAAAAAGGTAAAAACAGTTGAAAATTACTCCAACGGATACAAATCATGGGTAGCGACAAAGTTGATTACCGGGTGGCTGGGTCGCGACTGTTGCGGAAGTGGCGGACAGAGGCAACGGAGAGAGCAGGAGGAAGAGGAGAGAGTTGGCGGGGAGAGAGGTGGTTGGAGAGGAGGGAGGAGCGGTTGAGGATGGAGGGGGGAACGGTGGAGATAGCGCGGGTGGTGGCAATCGCCGGCGATTGAAGGAGGAGGGTGAGGTTTTTGAGGGGCCTCAACTGATTGACGGAACGAGAACCGGATCTCACGATATTCATCTTCCCTGACCGACGACGACGCAAAGACCACTTTGAAATTTTGTTCAGTGGTGAAATTGAAAAAATGCGGTGCACCGTAGTGGTGGTAGTTAGTAGACTGGTATTATTATAGAGTGGAGTTTGCGGGGGAAAACTGAAAAGCCCTACCAAAACCCTCCCCGGTGTGACCCTTTCTCCAAGTCACGATTTTTCATTATCCAATTCCACATGAAATCAAATCAAGTTTCAAGTTTTGGCTTTCTTCGCTTTACAATATACTAGTACTTAGGTTGCATTTGATAAAATTAAAATCTAAAAAAATTTGAATTTATTAAATTATTAAATATTAAATCTAATACATTTAAGTGTACATCATATTAGCTTATCACTTAATATTAAGAATAAAATTTAGTACCACTTAATATGTTAAGATTTGAATCCATTAAATTTAAGTATTGAATTGGATTATCAAACAAGGCATTACGCTATTGATCTACTACTACTACTCCCCATTCAATGAATATGAAAGTTAGGGTGCGTTTAATAAAATTGAAATGTGAACCCATTAAATTATTGAATTGTTAAATATTAAATCAAATATTTGAGTGTATATCATATTCAATGATAAGTGAATAAATTATTATTTATTTTTGAGAACAAGTTTTGCCCATAAAATTCAGTGGCACTTAATTAATTCATATATTCAATTTTTTGTTATCAAACACATCTGAATATATTATGATCTGAATACATTAAATTTAAGTATTGAATTGCATTATCAATCAGAGCCTTAGTCACAAAACAATCAAAAACA